TGTATTTGTTAGCTTTTAGAAGGGGCCAGGTTCGAATGCCGTCAGGCGCTTCCTTAACTTTTTTCCACTTTCGGTAATTTTATGTACATACAACCACAGAATAAACAGTATACAGAAGACGCACCACATACAAATTTATTTTTCTTCGGCGGGCGTAATATTACAACCCGGACCAGAGCAGAGAAGTTAACATCACGACCAGGGTTGCCACTTTAGTAAATTGTTACCCAAATTGGTAGAAAAAATTTTGGTTTATTACAAAGGTAAATTTTTTCTCAGTTTGGTAGATTTTTGATGAACTTTCCGTTCCCGATTTATTTTTCGTAGTTATCTTTAAATATATTATAAATTTATTTGCATACTTTTTATATAATTACATACGTATAAATGTATATCGATATAAGGCGAACATATCGCGCTCCATTCAAAACTAATTTTACTGGAATCCCGAGGAGCTTTTGATTGCCTAAATATTTTAAATGATTATTTAAATATAAAGAAAAAATTTACAGGTATGTAATTACGCACTATGATTATTCGCAAAAAAATTAAATCAACGCCATTTTTTATCAATGGAAAAAAAATTAAAAAAAATCAACGGGAATTTTAAGCAGCACATTGTTGGCTATACTCAAATAGTATTTGCTTTAAAACTCCATACCTTAAATTGTTCTAAAAATGCAGAGTAAAAAATTCGAAATTTAGACGAAAATTTTTGGAATTTTTCTATATGTTGTATATAGTTTGAATCCTCGATTTTTATGGATTTAGTTAAAGCAATAAACAAATTTTACTCGAAAAATATTGCTAATATTAAAAAAAATATATTTTTTTGAGTTACTGTATTTGTCTATAATAACTCGAGTTGAAGTTTTTCAAATAATGAAGTTTCATTGTTGCCTTTAGTTTCATCACTTCCGCTTTTGGTTGAAGGAAACTGAAAATAGGCCAATAATATGACTCAAATACCGTATAACTAGTTAAATAAAAAGTTCTTAGAAACAATTTTAATTCTTATTGAAATAACTAAAATAACAAAACTATAGTTTTTATTAAAATAGTTATACAAAAGTTATTGGTAGATCTTTCCCAGATTTGGTAGATTTTTTTCAAGTGGATGGTAAATATTTTTTTTCGTCAGTGGCAACCCTGATCACGACCACTATGATTAACATGGCGACCCGGAACAGAGCAGAGGAGTTAACATCACGTCCACTATGAATAACATGAAGTTAATATCTCGCCAAAAATGTATCAGGTGCCAAGCAGAAAAAACATCAAAAGCAAACAAAATTGTTGTTTGTTAAACTATTATTTAAAAATCGAATAATAAAAAAACAGGCCGATTCTGAACAGTAACTCCCTGGGAGTTTTCTCTCTTGAGTTGAGCTGCCAAAAGAGAGTCAAACAGCCTTTTCGAAGTTCGAATTTCCTCCACCCAAATTTTCGGGAAAAATGCTGCTCCCTGGGTGTTAATTATTGGAGGATTTCTTTCTCGGGAGAAACAAATTCCTGGAGAAAAACTCCCCGGGAATATTAAGAATTGGTCTGAAAATTTTATAATTAAATCTATAGTTATAAAAAAATATATATGTATTTCTTGCTTCTGTCTGCTTATTTGCATAAGGAAAAACAAATTTATAGGGCCCCTAAACCACACGAAATGCGCAACCCGAGACGTGCACAAGTCAATAATGTGGAAATTACTACAGCATAAAATTGCGCAAACCTTATTTTGAAGAAACGTTGCTCAAGTAAATATGTGCAAGAAATATGAATGCGTGTTGTATATTTTGATAGCTTCAGCTTTAAAACGTAAAAAAAATAATCCTGGACACCAAAATCAAAACTAGACTAAAAATTTCGCAGTTGTCGCCATCAGCGTTGCCATTTTAGCCGTTTTCCGGCTAGATTTAGCCGGTTTTGATAGCAACTAGCCGGAGAAAATTCGATCTAGCCGGCAGCCGATTTGTTAGCCGGTTTGTAA